CTCAATCTACATCAAAGAAAATAAAATCAAATGCAAATTCCACATGATAACTGGACTATCCATCCACGTGCACATGAGCAGGCGTCAGGAGAAACTCACTCTATCTGTCTCCATCTTTTCCAGAAATTAAATTCTCAAATAGACTCATTTTTCACAGCATAAAGCACCAAAAAAGAAAGGAAATAAAGAAAAATAAAATGTCGCCCAGAGTTTGACAGACATGCCCGGAAAAACATGTAAGCATCTAGTGTTTATTAGTTTATAAATTCCTGTGTGCATCAACAAAGACAAACCCCACTAAAAGTCATAAAAATATGCATCGCAGCCCATGCATGCAGTGGTTTATACATTATAGTATTAGTATTTCACGGTCCACGTATACCACACCCACATCTTAGCAGTAAATATAGATCTAATGATTATTAATTAACTACAATCCTGTACATGATCTGAAGATTTTATCTACGTACTTCCATACGAGAAAAATCATACCACCAGTCTCGTCTCCAGGTCTCACACAACAAATGTTAGAAGATTATTTGTTTTGTCAAATATAGTGAGAGGAGTCGGGCAAAAGCAAGCTTACTTGGGAGAGAGTGAAAAGGGAACTGGTTCGCGGCTAAAGGTTGGGTGTGGAATTGCAGGCAAATTACAACTGATGCTGATATACACCGGTTTACTCTCCTTCAATGCCGTCGATATTGCCGTATCTATAGCCTCATGCGCATCCTCCAAATTATTCACGACAGCCTAAAATTAAAAAATTTACAAACCAAAATACAAATAAGGAAAAATGCTCGAGCTCGTTAAATTCAGGAGTACCAATAGTAAAAACACGACAATGATGGATTAGACCTGGTAGCAAGTGACCGTTTGAAAGCAACGAAGTTCCTGGCTGAAATCGGGCAATCCGATGGTGTGATGGAGGATCCGGTTGGTTCCGTAGTCATTGGAGTTAGGACCGCCAACGATGCATATTACTGGAAGGTTCTCGCTGTAGGCACCGGCTATGGCGTTGAGTATGCTCAAGCCGCCGACGGTGAAGGTGACAACGCAGGCCCCGACTCCGCGGCACCTGGCGTAGCCGTCAGCCGCGTAGCCGGCGTTGAGTTCGTTGCAGCAGCCTACGAGATTGAGGCCCGGTTCAGCCAAGAGGTGGTCGAGGAGTGTGAGGTTAAAGTCGCCGGGAACGGAGAAGACGTCATTTACGCCGACCTGGACGAGACGGCGAGCGAGGTGGCGTCCGAGAGTGGAGTCAGCAGAGTTGAAAGAAATGGGAGATTGGTGGATGGTGACGGCGCCATTGGTGGGGAGACTACCGACGTCGTTGCTGAGTGGCTTACACGTGTCCAGTGCTCCGATCCTAGTGTCCATGTTTGCGACGGTGAGACGAGGACGGCGACGTCTAAGATGTCGGTTGTAGATGTAAGTAAAGAGCAGCGGAAGGAAAAAATGAGAAAGTTGGGGTGAAAAGAAGGAATTGCAGTCCGTTGAGCTATTAGTATTATATTTACCTTTGCTCCTTTTTTTTGGGGGTGGGTTCAATAAGGAAGGAAATTTTTTGCCTTGAGGAGCAGGTCTCGGCCTTTCTTTCTTTTGGAATGGGTGTTGATCGGTGAATGAATTTGGGAGCGCAAATATATATATATATATGCGCGCGGTTGGCTGGTTGGTCTCAGTTCTCAGAGCCCATAAGGGTTGTTTTGGCAGAAAGAAAAACAAACGGAGGAAACCGGAAACCAGGGGCGGTCTCACACAAAGGGTACCTGATTTTTTTGCCATGGCGGTGTGGATCGGGTTGAGGCACGCCGCACTTGGTTTAGCGTAGCAGCTGTATCCTAATTTTCTTCCTCTTTTTTTTTTTTTCTCTCTCTCTCTCTCTCTCTTTTGGTAAGGACGATTAAAAAAAAAAAAGGCACAGCAAGGCGTGATTAGTGCATCCTTCTGTCATTTTCAGTATTAACCTATCAAGCTCGCAAATTAAACTTCACTTATTTACGCAGTTATTCACTAATCAACTGGGATCTCAAATTCTCTGCTCCCTTACCGGGTTGATAAAGACCGAGTTCGATGCCCCGTTGGTTTCCCCTCGTTGTTCCCTAGTATCACCAATCCCCAAAAAAAAAAAAAAAGTGAGATTGTTTTATTAATTCTAATCTCAAATTACCCGCAGGACATGATACGTTCGTCTATAAGTTAGTGATCAAATTTTGATGGAAATTGAGTTAAAAGAATGGCTATGTATGAAATATTGAGCACGTATTAATTTGTGGTCAAAATATCGAACGAATGTATGTCGAGTGTATGATTCATTGTACACTCATATCGCACACAAGAAAAGATGAATTGAATTTTACGAATACAATTTCATTTATATTAAAATAATAATAATAATACACGTACCGTGCACATCAGAAATCTCTAGTACGGGAGGCATTTTCTTTTTTTTGAAAAAAAAATTCTCTTCTATGTTAAGTAAACAATAAAATCGAGCACTAGAGTACAAATTTTTTTTTCCTTTGCAGCGAGGCAATCGATACTCACAAGAACTGCATTTTCCGGTCGGGTCACCCGTTTCCTTCAAAAAAAAGGGGGGGGGGGGTGGGTCGTGTCACACGTATAGCCTACATTATAGACAGAAACACTTGCGGTGTACTACTGGCGTTGAATGACCGGACCCGTTTTGATCCCACCGCCCTCCCCAATGCCCAAGTTCATCGAAGATTTGAAAATATGGTTTCTTCATCAACGAAGTCTTAACTACGCTGCCATTCCAAAATCCATTTGCCATTTTCCTCTTGTTTTCTTTTCAATTTAACTTCTTTTTCCTATTGATGGCTAGTATCAGATGGACCTTTAAATTTTATAGTAGTAAATGATTAGCGAATCTTCGAAAAGGGAACTTTTTTCTTTTCGATATAACAACAAGTATCCCAAGTCAGTTGGATCAAAACGGGGCATGCTTTATTTTGTATAATTCGTTGCAAAAATATTATTATATGCGTGCGTGTCTATTGTCTCTCTTATCCAATTAATGAACGAGTGCGTTAGAAACATCAATGAGATAAAACCTGTGATTATTATTATTAATATTTTTGGTTCAACGGAAACTCAAAGACCAATAAAGAGGAGTAAAATAAGAAACACTCATTGATTAATGTCCTTACCAATGTGTGTTCTGGGGCACAAAGTAGTGATTAATTAGTGAAGTTTGTTAACATTCGATGCTGTGGGCGAAGGGATGGGATGGATGATATAGAAAAATGAACGTAAATAATATGTTTCAAACTCGAGACCGTCCACTAAATTTTTTTTTTTTTTAAAAAAGGATAGATACGCAAAGCAAAATATTATGACACAACTACTAAGCAATAATAGTAGCTTATGTCTCATTGTTGACAGTAGTCTTAAATAAAGATTGCAATATTAGACATGTGGAACATTGTGACACAGCTACTAAGCAATAGTTCATTGATAGTGATCACAAATAAAGATTGCAATACTAGATATGTAGAATGTGATGATAGAACTACTAGACAATAGTAGCTTATGTCGTTGTCAATGATCGTAAATAATGATTGACAGTCATACTTTGGAAAAAATCAAATACTCCTAACTGGTTCGGCAAAAAAAATACAATAACTCTCTTGACATTCATACTTTGAAAAAAATCAAATAATCGGGTAATTACAATGATCATAATATATTCATATTATTGAGGCACACAACCTTCAAATTTTTAATCGATGTTGCACCCATCCTATGCTTTATACCATTGGTAATTCTAAAGGTTCATAATTGACCTTTTCCAAAAAAAAAAAAAAGATCAAAACTGAAGAATAGTTTGTCCCATAGTTCTAAAATTCTGGTCGAATTTCGACTCAGAAAAGTGATCGAGTCACTGGATTACGGTTCAACTACAAGTTGAGCGAGCCATCGAGTAATCGATTTTAACTATGAATTGAGCAATTCAACCGCGGGTTATACAATAGTTATATTCTATAATATAAAAATATATTTTAAATTATAAAAATAATAAAAAAATTTAAGTCAGATGGTTCAATCGACAATTTTTTCTTGATTCATCAATTTAACCATCGAATCATTAACCAATCAATGAGTTTCTTGCTTGCTCGGTCTAATTAGCAATCCAATCCACTTCTATAACGGGTTTATCGGGTTGGCCGATTTGACTGCCGAATCTAGTTTTGTAACTACAGTTTGTCCAATCGCTGTGACTGTTAGGCCCATAGAAGACAAAGGTCAACGCGTCAAATACTAGAGAATTGCCTTGGTCTTAGACCAGTCACACGAAAGTTGCAAAATTCCAATTGCATCTGACTACCAATTCCCGGTACTACTATAATTTATGCAAAGACTGGTTTCAGCGGCGCGTATGCTGGTTTTTGATCGTTCCAGAGCGTATCATGCTGTGGTTGCTTGCGACTTTTGAATTCTGATCATCAGCGGTCTTCTTAAAAAAAAAAAAAAAAAAAAAAAAGGTGTGTAGATTTAATAAGTTTCATCCCGCGGGGGGGGGGGGGGGGGGGGGGGGGGATGAAATAGGTACGGCTCGAAGCGCTCCTTTTACTTTAGCCATGTTGTATAATTTAATACATTACTGTTCATCACCTTATTAATTCATCCTTCATCGCACCCCACGTGGATCCACAAGACCCACACCTATCGAGCCTTGCCGGTCAAGAAATTGCTTCCATCACGACAAGAATCGCATGCTTTTTTCCCCCCGCCCAAAACTCCTTTTTGAGTCCGAAAATTCATCAGTATACACGTTATGGTCTCGATCATATTAGTACGACTTTCTGTCCGTAATTTTTTTTTTTATCGAGAATGTTTACCCTAGATTGCCATTTCCTCGAGAGATAAGAAAATTTCACTTGTGTTAGACAGACACTGGGTAAGGACAGCAAGACAAAGTCCATGCCTTTAACACGCCTCCTGTTAGAAGGAATGCAAAATGGAGGTAATCACCACCACACTCGTACAGAAGTAAGTCAGGGATCTGGCATATATTCAAAGACATTGATTTAGAATTTGCCTATCCAGAGCTAAAATTACATTTCAGCAATAGGACTAACAGTTACGAGGGTCTAAAAAGCTCAGAGCACAAACCCTTACATTTTCTGTATATCAGTGAAATTGAACTTCTCTCACAGGTGTGTTTTGTGCTCTTCATTTTTACATCTTCACAATGGGGGGAAGATAGAGGAGAGCAGCAAAATGGCAGAATACCCACTATGTCGGATCACCAATCGATGAAGCACCAACTCTTCCTATATATACACGGTAGTCCTTTGAAAAATTATCCAATTTCACCCTAAAAAGCTCTTACTATTTTAATGTGGGCTTTTGTCTAATTTTTGTGAACTGTACATCCCCATTTAATACAGAACTGATGAACTTCTCTGCCTCCTCTGTTGTCAAGCCACTTTGTAGAGTTGCAAACTTCCCTTTCCGTGACTTGTAGGCCACAAGAAGCTGGTCAACGGATTTAAATCCAGATTTATCTAAAGCGGTTAGAAAGGATTGCTGCTTTGCAGCATCCAGAAGGGCATAGGAAACTGAATCCCTTGAGCCAAATGCTACATTTCGCCGTCTTGATAGTGATTTCTGAGACACCTGAAAATCCAAAGAAGCAAAAAAGAGGAAAACGTTAAATTTAACTGAATGCTCATCATTTGGACAAGTTTGCCAGAAAGAAGGTAGACTGAATAGAAAAGAAAAATAGAAGTAACAATGACATTGTCAATCTAAATCGTTAATGTGATTACACGGGTTAAACAGTACTAAAACTAGAAATCAAACTCCAGAAGTAAACTATTTGCAGGTATAAGCTATATCCACCACACCTGAAGTCCAACTAAACCCCATCCCTGAGGTATTTATGTTAGTACATCTGTCGATGATTAACACTTGACAACCAGGCTCTTCCTGGATATCTATCTTATTCATACTTCAAATAATTTCCAACTAAGTCTTTGTTCATGTCACAAATAATTAGTTTAATCATCTATAATGTGAGGCATGTTCATCTCCTTCAGTCAACAACACCCAATCTCCTATTACATTTCACAATTTCATAACAAATTGGTTTGTCATGTCTAGCTATAATGTTTACGATGAGCAGACATTCGTAAACTCCACTGAGTACTATTTTTTATGCTTGTCAACAAATTCAGAACACTTACCATTCGCAAAATATGTTCCAGATTGTCCCTTGCCTTGGATGACCTAAAAGCTCCAATAATGCAAACAGGAGTTTCCTGCCCACATATATCACCAAAATTATATGGTGTAAGCAAGGGGATCTTTCCATCGTCTGGTTTTGTCCCATCCTTTTTACTCTTTGCTGTAGCTGCCTTCTCATTCATTTTCTCAAACTTGTCCAGCAAAGCACTTAAATCTTGTATTGCTGATTCCAAGTCCTTTACAGAAATGCCAGTTTTCAAATTATGCTTCTCTCCATTTGATAGCCAACCAACTATGGCAGGAAGAGCGTCGACACCTAGCCTTCTGACCATTGGATCTGAAACATCATGTACCTATGAATAAGCCAAAGTAGCTGTTACATCTTTCTAAAATATAGCCCAAAACACACACACACACACACACACACTTTATGACTAGAGAAACTATTAAGCCATAATAGGAAGTTCAACAACAGCCTAGCTGGAACTACCTCAGCATCACAGAAGACAAAGGATTTGTGATACAAGCCACTCAAAACACGCCAGATAACAGGAGTGTCTCTCTTCGTTGAGAGAAGCATAACTTTTGGTAGAACTCCAACGGTCTCAGAAGCAAAATCAAAGTGATCCAGGTTGACACGTTTCGAGAATTTAGGCAAATGATCCTGGCAAAAACTTTTCAAATTCTTTGCATCCAAATCATTATTATACTCCACCAGAGTACCACTTTCACTTGATTTGTAAGAATAAACAAGCAGCCTTGGTGTACGGTGAGGGTGTATACCAAGTTCCTTGCAGAAAGATGTTTCAGTATCACAATTGACACTTCCAACCTGCAGGTGTAAGGTCATATTCATTAGAAATATTGCAAAATCAGCATCAATGAAAAATGACAAAACAACATAATAAGGAAGTACCTTCAGTGCTCCCTTTAGAGAGGCTGCCACCTCGCCTATCACAGATTCATAGTATTGCATCCCCCTTGAAGTGGATTTATATGATAGCAAAAGCCAGGTAATTCCTTTATCAGATATTTCTTTCTGGTAAACTAGTGAGTTCACAGGTGGAATGCTTTTAGGGGTACTTCCAGCTCCACCATATTGGGACCTGCCTGAACCACCAAAACCTCCAAAATGGTTCCCACCTCTATCACCCCCAAAGAAATTAGAGAAAATATCATCTAAACCAAAACCAAATGAGCTCTGGCTGCTTGGACCACCAAAAGAAAATGAAAATGATTTTGATCCTCCTTGTCCACCCATATTTTGCCAATCACCAGGCCTGAATGTAAAACCACTCTGCCCTGGTCCACCACTTGTGAAGTAGGTATATCCACCATGCTGTCCAGAATTGCCAGGATCAAATCCAGAAGAGCCCTTCTCATCTCCATAGAGATCATAGTTTTTCCTTTTCTCCTCGTCAGACAAAATATCATAAGCTGACAACAGTAAAAAGATATTTCCAGTGAAAGAGTTAGTAAGCAAAGCAATCTAAGCTCCAGATGATTGCTAGAAAAATTACATGCCCTCCTCCACCAAATGCTCGATTTATAAACCACTTTAATTGGAGAAGAATGCATGCAATCAAACAAAAGAAAGGATGCCATGTTATAAATTTGATGTCTCCTTCAATAGACAAATATAAAGCTGCTTGCGCGGGGGGGTGTGGGCCGGGGGGGCAACCATTTGGCTACATAGAAAGGAGGAGGAGAACAGCAGGAGAGGAATGGAAAGAAAAGAAGTGCCATTATACCATTATTAATCTCTGCAAACTTCTCCTGTGCACCCTTGTTTTTGTTCTTATCCGGATGATATTGAAGAGAAAGCCTGCAAAAGAAGACATGACAACATTAGTGGGAAAATGCAACATAGAAACCCAAAACGAAAGGCTTTACTAACAGAAGTAGCCGACAGATCATCGGTCTGCTAAGAAAATCAGTTCAGTATCATTCAGCCAAGCATCATCATGAGTCATGAAGGTTTGGAATACTGTCATCAATTCAGTGTGCATGTATGCTGGTCACAAAAGAAGATCACTGCCCATGCATGCCCAACCACTGTCCACGACCAATGCCGTTGTCAGCATGTCCAATGAGGGCACCATATAAATGTTGTTTACTATCAAATTAGACCAGTAACAAGCTATGACAAGGCAAAGCCGTTGTATACTTATATCTGCAAGAGGCAATCCCTATACCCATCCTCCACCCCTATACCCACTCTCCACACCCTGAATCAAAAAAGAAAACAAAAAAACCTTCCAGGATCCGGGATCCAAGATTGGCTCACAAATGTACACCATACTTCCTGGATTTATTAGGATCGTGCCAAAAGCTTGAACAAGCTTTCAAGAAGAAATCCAGGCAGAATTACATAGTATCAATGTGCATTACACCTCCTCATATACCATAAAATTAGACCATAACATGGCAAAAAAGTAAAGATTACAAAATCACAACAGTAGCATGACAGTGAAGAGTAGCCAGTCTTCATTCACAGGTATAAAACCATAAATTAAGAACCAAGGAATGAAAGAGCATGACACATGAGGAAGGAGCTTTTATATGTGACATACTTGTGAAAAGCCTTTTGAATCTCACGTTGACTTGCGCTGCGATCCACCCCAAGTACCTAGTAGAAAGCATACAACATGTAAGTGACAATGTGACGTAAGGAATAAGCCGGATACTAGTACCCAGGATGCAATGACACCAAGAAATTACTATCTTCAAAGCAACCAGATGTTCTGAACAGCAATACGTATCCTTATCCAAGCAAAACACAAAGTTCACTGAATGCTAATCTGGGCTTGACTAAAATCTGTAACTCCCACATTGACTACTATCTTAACTCTCCGAGTGACAACCCAACTAGGCCCTCTCTCCCTCCCAGTCGGGCGTTCTTGCTACGCTTACCAATGCTAACAAAATACGAATATCAAAATCATATAAATCCTATATTGTCCTTCTGTCCAAAAGGGCAAAAAAAAAAAAAAAACTCCACAGAAAGGAAGATAAATCGAGAGCAATACCTAGAACTGTAAATGTAAACATGGTTTAACACTAGATTACAAAATTTTAATACATAAGCTCCAGCAGACAAAAAAATTGCAAAACCAAGAGAGTGAGAGACGAAGTTACCTTGTAGGGGTCGAGGGTTTTTGATTCTACGGCAAAGAGAAAGATTGAGACAGAGACAATAATCGGCATGGCTAATGAGGCCTTCATGGCTGGATGCTTATTTGCCTAGCTGCGATATTTGGGAACGATCGAATTCTGTCTGGCCGAGATTTGAAGAACGATTCGTTTCAGAAGCAACGGGGATGAGAATTGGAGAGCAACTCGCATTTAATTGATTTCGCGGGATTCGTTTTCCAGACGGTTCGGCCGTTGGATACACGTGGCCTCTGTTTAAGGGATCCACGACTTTTAACCAATAAGGTGTTAGAGTTCTTGATTTGTGTAGGACCGACCGACTTAGGCTTGTGTCCATCCACGCGCGTACACGCACGCTCTCACGTGCTCGAAGGAAGGAGCTGCATTGCTTAAATTGCATAACTTTCCATAAAAAAAAAAAAGGGATTAACAAATAAGAACACTTTGTCCCCTCAATAAAAATAACAGGCACCTTGCCAACTTGATTTTATCCCATCCCTTGCACGAGAATAGAGAAGAGCTTCGTAACATGTCTAATTTAACAGCAGCTTGAAACCTGGCCATTATAGTCCATTTACCACAACCTTAAATTCCAAAATTTTCTAGAAAACTATTGACAAATGAGAGTATAACAATTTTGAATACAATTTTTTTTGTTTTGAAATTGCTAATATGGATGGAGTAGCGTATGAAATCTTCAAAAATCTAACACATGATTTATACCTCCATTTCTTGCCTTCTGTACGTCTCGCTAGTTTCTCTATAAAAATCACACTACATATTTATACAAACATTTTTAAAAATAAATATATATATATAATTGGAGTGTCTCGAAGTAAACTGAAATTTCATAACAAAAAAAAAAGGGAAGACAAATTTACAAAAACTTGCAAACACCCCCCTTTCTTTAGACAACATCATACTACGATCAAATTGAATAATCCATACATAGCGAACTCTTTAAACACAACACTTAAAGCAAATTACAAAATTCTCTTATTTTGTATGGTTCTTATGATGCTACTCCTTAAGATTTATTGTTCATCTTATAAATTAAAAGAATATTGATGTCACTTCACACTGTCCAAGGACAATTTCAATATGATCGAGTAAACATACATTTATACCAAACAAATTATAAATCACATGACATCTAACAACACTACAAGAAATTTAGGCTTTTCATGGCTCTTCAGATTAATGCAAGTCACATAGAACTTATTTTTCATGACATGAAATTGATGGATATAGCAGTAAGTTAGTTTTAAGTCACAAAATGCATGATTTTAAGTCACCAATAATATAATTGACATTCATTTAAGAGTCACGATCATTCTCGTGACTTGTAAATTAGGGTTGCCATTTACGTACTCGCAAGATCAATTGTGACCATGTAAACGGTGATCATAATTTACAAGTCACAATATTAAATGTAACTCGTAAATGAATGTCATTTCTATGACTTCAAAATCATACTTTTTGTGACTATCTCTAGTTTCACATCCTAAGAAAATAAAGTTTTTTATGCCTTGCAATTCTTCGACGAGTCACAAGAAGTCTAAAATTAAGGTAATGTAAATTCTAAGTTCGTAAACCAATACAGGCTTAAATTTGCCCTTAAAGCAAAAAAATAAATAAATAGATGTCAAATTATAGAGTATCATTTCCAATGTTAAGTGGTTAACAAGAGAACCTCACATATTTCTCTATAATTGCCGTGCTTTTTCTCTAATATTTTTAAAAACTCGAAATATAATTCATCATGTCCGTTCCTGTATATATCTTCTTTTTCGCAGTCTACAGCCAAAATTTTATACAACAGATCAATACTATAATTCAAGTTAATAATAATTTCGTTAAAAGTGACAACGATGGAAAACCAATGGAAATCGCAATAGCCAGCCAAAAAGGTTGCACCATAGCGTGTAACGTATCTGATTGTATGGATAGCAAATAGTCACTTAATTTGAGGGTTCACCGCCATATTGTCTGTCTACCACTTCATATCTGCAAAGCAACATCGATGATTTTTTTTTGGGGGTATTAATATAACCAAAATAGTTAAAACACATCACTTAATAATATATGTGTATATGTATAGCAAAAAACCTCTAAAAAAAGTTCTGTCAAAACCTTCTAAAATCTACAATAGTGAAGAAATTAGCAAATCAATGCATTGTATGCATTAAAATCGTTTAACAGAAATATATTTGACATATATAAAAATATGCGAGAGAATAGGCAATGAGCATATCTGATTCTTGAGATCAGCATAAAATCTATATAAAATTGCTTTTAAAACAATCACAATTCTCACTAGTCTATCGTAATTTTTCTCTTGCTCATCTCAACTAATACAATATTAAAACATATATATATATATATATATATATATATATATATATAGTCCATATGGCTTGGTAATTAAGAAATTAACAAGACAATAAATTGTTAAATAATTTCTCTATACCTTAAACAAGTAAATTACTAAAATTTGAATATACTTGAAAAACTTCTAAACAGAAATATGAAATATTAACTATTAGGAAGTTTGGTTCAATGATCAAATTTTACCCATTCGGGCACTGTGAAAGTGTCTTTGCCCATGTGCCGATCTCGATTAACTTCCATGACCATTATTTATTTCAACTCTTTCAGGAAGGGCCAGAAGGTGTAATCACTAGTCACCGGTACTTAGATGAAAATGCACGCGAGTGACGTCAAATGCTGAATATCCATCCTTCGTTTTGTTTTGTAAGATTGCAAATGAGTGGAATCGTGTCGAGTTTAAATATAATTAAATCGAATCTCAATATAATTTTACGAATCTCGAACTCGATGAATTCAAAATGTCAAATTCGAGCTCAAATTTGATATTTAAAAAATATAAATAATTATTTTATTTTTAAATAAATAAAATAATAGTAATTTTTAATAAGTAATAAAAATTAGGAATATATATATATAATTTTATTATTAAAATAAAAAATTATAATCAAACTCGAATCGGCTTCTGAGCTATACTAGAGAGTATGTTTGAATTGAGATAATTTAAAAAATAATAATTTGCCTCACAAATTTCAATCACTTTTTTATCTCACATACGTTACATCACAAAAAGTGCTATAGTAATTATCTCAAATAAATTATCCAAACAAACTTTTATATAAACGGACTCAGTATTTTTTAATTAAAATTCAACTTAATCAGCTCAAACTCAACTCGAGTTCGACATTAATCGAGTTAGAATTGAGTCCGGACTCGAACTGCTCGCGATCGGTTAGATTCGTTTGCAGCCAGCTCTGCCCATCCAGCGGCGTTAACCTCCCAAGACCGCTCTGCCCTTCCTTTTTCTTCTTGGCCTCTTTCCTTTTCTCCTCGGACACAAAACAGACGCACGCACAGTGCAAATGCACCTCTCTCTCAGTTCCGCTGTGTACAATTTTCCAGCAAAAAATTTTGCACTGACACCTTGTGAAAACCTGCATTTTCTCTCCTGAAATGCTACTTACTCTTACCTGTTTACCGACCGATCCCCAATCAGCAATCACTCTTCCGCTATTCCTCTACTCTCTCTCCAGACACACACAATCACGCTTACCTGGACTAACTGGGAAAACTGGTTGATTGATTTCTTCATTTATTGCTTTGATTGTTTACCGATTGATAATAATGGCGCTATCAGCTTCCGACTTGCCGATGATGTATACGCTTCTCGCAAATTCATTGAGCGGCGATCAAGGCGTGCGTAAGCCAGCCGAAGCTGCCCTAGCTCAATCCGAGAATAGACCTGGTTTCTGCTCTTGCCTTATGGTAATAAGCGTTTATATCATTCATATGTATACGTATATATTAGCAACTCCTAGGGTTTAAGAATTACCTTAATATCGCGTGTTAGTTCATATAATAGTTCAACGGTTTAATCTCAATCGTGTCGTTGTTTTGGACAAATGTAGGAAGTTATCACTGCAAAAGATATAGTGTCTCAGGTGGATATCCGGTTAATGGCATCCGTATATTTCAAAAACAGTGTTAATCGGTATTGGAGGAACAGGCGTGATTCTTTGTGAGTTTCATTTTCTATTTTCTCGAGCTTTTGAGTTCTTCATGCTTATACTGTGTACCTATAGGAAATATGTTTGTATTATTAACTAGTTTGCTGTTATTATATTGACAAGCATAATAGTTGTTGTTGTTGTTATTTTGGCTTGAGATATTCTTGACTACTCAGACAAGAAAAGTTCGCATGTGTGGGTTGTTGTTAAACCAGAAGGTGCTTTTAGACATTTGCGATTGGCGTGTACTTGGTGCAAGGTGGTACACATTCTGAATGGTCTGCGGTTGGAGCAAGTCTTCACTGGATAAATTATTTGGGCAAATTTATTGTTGTATTAGGTTATTGTTATATTAAGTTATATGTTGCTTAAAAAATATCTTGTGTGGTTGATTGGGAATAATTTTCTCTGTTTTTGAGTAATCAGTTAGGCAAAGCAGAAAATGCAAGTAGATGGGATTGAAAATGATGATGTAACTCTTTAGGATAGACTCTGGTTTTGTACCATTTACTGATCCATTCTCAAGCCTGTACTCAAGATATCCAAAAGTGAGGGCTACTTGTTAAGAAGAAAAAGAACGGTATAGCTGTTGATTTAAGCTTTGAAATATTTGAAATTGTGCCAACGCTTTCTGGAATCTGAAGAGCTTTTAGATCATCCGGGCCATTCTGCTGCTTGAACATGAGGTGATTTGCATATGAAACAGGAGTGGAAATATATGCCTTTTCTCACCACATTGTTTTATATTGTGCAATAGCTATATTATTGCCGCACTAAGGATTAAAAAAAAAACTGAGCCATAATTGGGTTGTTAATGAAGCGAGAAAGGATGCAACATTTTCTCTCATGTGTGTTTTCATGATGGTAACTGGATTTGTACTTACCTTCTGATTGGGTCAGGGAAGAGGGACTAAGATTCAGTCCTTCACTTGATTTTGGATGCAATGGTACAATTTATTCCTGCCACCCCTTTCATTTAAACTTCATTCTATGTTGTTGGCGCAGACAGACATTTGCTGCTTTCTGAGATACTGTCTGTTGTTTATTCTTGGCAGGGGAATTAGCAATGAGGAGAAGATTCATTTGCGGCAGAAACTGTTATCACACTTGAGAGAAGAAAATGATCAGGTCCTATTTTTTTTCAGTTTGTA